TGGCTGTGGTTTTTAATGCTCAATTTAACTGATTCTATAGGCCCTGCATTTTTTATATATTTTACACCCTTTATTTATCATAGTGTGGGAGTTTTGTAACTGGATCACCTTTTGAATTGGGATTTAACATGTCCTAATTACCTTTGATACTGTTGTGGTCAATTCCATTCATTAACTGTTATGTTTTGTGTAAGAGATCTATAGATAAATAAATGAAAGGTTTTTGTGTTGAACTTTAACATCCTGTTCTAGATTGTACCTCTTGTGGCATCTATGAATAAAATGAAGGTCAACAGACAGGCTCTTGACAGGTTACACAAGGTCAACATACAGTAGTTAATTCTGAGGCTCCTGCATTTTTGTAGCATCTTCCATAATTAAAAGAATCCCCTCAACAAGGAGGTAGTCAATCTAAAAAATCACCAAACAAAAATGTACTTTCGCTGACATGAACGAGACTGAGACGATGATGTGCACCCACAATGTTGAGCTGAATACCTATAGTATTTTAGTTGCATCCTGCAAATGTCACTTTTTCTCTAGGCCTAACTCTCTTTAAGCCCAATCACACTTATTATATTGGCCCATTGCCACCTTAACTACGACTGACTGAAAACGACCGTTCCCTTCGCGGTTAGTATTTTATGTTGGCTCAGGTTTGCATTGTGAACATTCACATTTCCTCTTTCGCATATGATTTTTATGTGAAACAATGGTAGGCCTATAAGATGTCAAAATTGACTGATATCATAGCGGCCTTGCTGACCCAAGTTTGGTTTATGTTCAGATAAGAAGATTTGGACCATTTACCACATTGCGGTACCTGAGTGGATTTTAAAGTCAGACTAAATTTAGGTAGGCTTTGGGCCGGCTCAAAAATTCTTGATTGTTTACACCGCCTGAGGCGGTCCTGACCCGAAGTAACTATTAAAAGGATATGTTCACACACATACACACACAGCATAAGACCGATGTAGCTTACGCCGGAGTAAGCTAATCCACGGAATAAAATTCAAAAATGTTCACACATATGGCGTTTGCTTTATTAATGTTGGCGTTAAACTATGAGGGGAATAATGTAGTTTTCAGTTTTACATTGTATGGGTTCTTAACTGTAGTAAAATATATACAGTGCATCATTAAAACTTCTGAATCTGTGAATTGTTGGAAGTGAACTTATATGATTACTATATTTTTAATGAACAATTTAACTTCTGATTTCTTAGCTAGCATTGTGCAACAATTGACATTTCGACAAGATGTGAAGCCCCGCCCACAATGTCACGAAAACCTTAGACAATGGAGGCTAGACTTACCGAGTTGGCGAACATTTTCTTTGCTACAACCTTCTTTGAGAAAAAGAATTAAGGGTAGGCGGTATGCAAATGAATCATATATTCATAGTGTTAATCTATTTCATGGAACAGGCAGGGAAATTGTTGTAAAAGCCTCTGTATTTTGCTCCCAAAGGAAGAGGGAAAAGCCGCATTCAGTCAACTCGTCAGCAAATGCCAAGTCACTGATGCGCACTGCTCGTGTAAATCTGAGTATCTATCAAGTATAGACATCTAGGCCTAGTCTCATGTATGTTTCGTGTTGACAACCAGCTGTCTAAGGAAATTAAAATGTTTGAGAAAAAGTTTTTGATCACCTGACTAAATGACGCTCGCTGATTAGTCAGTTTATCTGTCAATCAAATCTCATCAAGATGTTAATTGTTAGTGTTGCAGGTTTTTATAGATAGTCTAAGTAGTTTAAAATATATTATAAAAGACAATCAACACACCATACATTGTAAACTTCGTAAAATGTAATGGAAAAAAACCCTTTTACATTTCAATATAGAGAGCATAGGAAAGTAAGTAATGCCACTGCCTAGTCCACACACAAAGGCGTATGCGGGGGTGTATGTTAAGCCAGCCTTACGCCGTGTGTGTGAACATAATCCTAAGTGTAATTGAGCTCTTTTTCTCTTCATTTAAAAGAAATGTTTTATGTTCAGTAGTTCCTTGGTTCCTAGGGTTCTTTACAGAATCAATCCCTGTTCAATTTATTTCCATAACAAAATAAATTATTAGAGATGTACCATAGTTCCATGGGTATAAGACTACCTCGGGTATAAGCCCAAGCCTACCCCCCCCCATCCCACTTTATGCTCAAATTTTTGTACAACCCTTTCCTCAGGGGAAAGCCCAGGGTATTACTTGAATAAGTAGCTTACACTAGGTGATTTTTTTTACAATGCTTTCTAAAAAAAAGTGCTGAAAAATTGCCTTTTAATTGAGAAGGGGATCCTACTGCTACCTATGTACAACAGTGTAGCAAAACTAAATGTATAGGAAATAGGTTTACAAATATTTACAGTGTTTCAAAGGTAACTATAGCTATTAAAATCAATGATGCAGGAACAGTTACTAAAATTATATACTGTAGTTCATTCCCTTTTGGTTATGAAGAACTGGCGGTTACAATGGTGGTAGCCACTGTGTGTGCATTGAACTGTGAAGATCTAGGTCCCTAGTTCAATCAGGGACGTATCCAGCCGCAGCTCCCCCCCCCCCCCCCCCCCCCCCCCTTTGTACACAGTGTTAAAATTTTAAAGCTTATTCTTGAGCCAATACAAATTCTTTCCTAGGATCACTCAAAATGAATACTTCTAAAACATGTAAATATGCATCAGTACACGTTATAATTAGGCCTAATAGAACACATAGGCATAAATCCATAAATCTCAGGCCAGGTCTATTAAGATAGAAATGCGATACTATGGTTCAATTTCATTTTTATCCTTTTGCAAGTTTCTTTAAATTTTTATTTAATTATACTACTACTAATAGTAATAATAATAATGATGATGATGATGATGACGATAGTAATAATTGATATTAATATTAATAGCAATACAAAGTGAAGAAAATTGTGCTAAATGCGAAAAAAAAGTTTGTTGATCATAATTATTATAGTATATATAGTTGAAGCTTAGTAAGCTATAGTTAGGCCTGAGTTGTGCTGGATATTAAGTAGATCCTTGATAAAAGATCATGAGAAATTTGTTGGCGTTTCATTTTGACTATAATGGTGATGTGATGATGATGAATTTTACTATATGAAAGTGTCATTTCCGGCCATCTCGAGGTACTATTTCCTTAAATTTTCTCACCTCGGCCCCAGCCATGGTGGGGCTGAGGTGGTTGTGGAATCACGTTTTTGAAGTAGGCCTATCTAAAGTACATACTCAAAGACAATGTTTTTAAGCTTTGTTTGGTGGGGCTGAGGTGGTTGGTTCCTCGGTCTGTGAAAGTCCCTCCCTCTTTCACCTCTCTTTTGAATTCCTGAATCTGCCACTGTTGATTTATTATATAATTTTTTTTGCGCGCTTATTTATAATGCGTCTATTGCAATTTTCACTTTATCCTCTCTAACAGTCCTAAGAACGTTTAGAGTGCGCTACTTCACAGGGGAATTCACCCCCTTGACCCCACCGGGGTCCTACGTAATTCGCATAAGGGCTCCCCCCCTTTAAAAATCCTGGCTACGTCCCTGAGTTCAATTCCCATCGCTGCTCTCCGTATATTTCAGCTGGAGGGCTGAAATACAAGTTAAGATAGAGCACCGTCTTTCGGATGAGAAACTTTAAAATTGATGTAAATGGAATGAATTAGAAGAGTTTACAACTATAAATGCCTTGGTGTAATTATTAACGATCAATTATCTTGGCATGATCATGTTAAGTCTGTATCTAAAAAAGTGTTTGCAACTCTTTCAATCCTAAAGCGTCTAAAACCTTTTATTAACCAATCTACTTTAAACCAACTTTACCTTTCACTTGTTCAACCACATTTTGAATACAGTAGTACTGTGTGGTCAAGATGCTTTGATAATGATTTTGACAAATTGACTCCAAAAACATGGTGCAAGATTAATATTAAATTCAAATATTCTAACACTCTCTAAAGAAATGTTTATGTCACTTGGTTGGTTACATTTAAGTGATATATTTCACCTAAAACGGTCATCTTTAGTATTCAAGTGTTTAAATGACAATGTGCCCGAATACCTTAAATCATATTTCAAACTTACTAATGAAAATCGTAATCACTTTACAAGAAATAGTTGCAAATCACTTGACAAATGTAAAACTGAATATTATAAGCATTCTTTTAAATGGCAAGGTGCAAATCTGCTCAACACTTTAAATGGTGTAACAAAGTCATCAAGTAATTTAAATGTTTTTAAAAGCAACTTTAAGTCGTCATTATTGTAAGATTAATTATCTTTTATTGTATATACGTGAATGTGTAAATTTTTAGTTAAGTTTTTGTTGTCTAAAAATATTTTGTACCCAGGGCCCCAAGGAAGACCAGTTTTTTTGACTGATTGGGCCACCCTGGTAAAATATTGAGAATAAATAAATAAATAAATAAATAAAAATGGGACTTTTAAAGCCGTTAGTCCTTTGTGCAACATGGCCCATGTGCATGTTGAAGAATACAGTACTGTACACTCTTCCAAAAAGAGTAGGGGATTGTCTCCCCTGTGTGCTGCCCAATTCACCACCAGAAAGACCCCACTGGAAACAAGTCTTCGGACTTTGTGGGTTATCCTTGGTGTCATTCACACCTAAAAATACTCCTACCTACAGATAGTACTACAGAGCAAGTATGGGTCATTATTGTTTTATCCAGAGAAGAATCATCTCCATGAGATGATACAAAATATTCTTTGAACAAAAGATTTAAACTTTCTTCACAGTATGGGAATTTGTTTGGATAATTTGTTCATTAGCGATAATTTCAGATTAAGTTATTTGATCATGAGAAGTGTTGGGTTGAAATATTCTAAGAAAAGGGGGAAATATAATTCTTATCCTAAAAAATTGTTTATATATCTTCAAAGACCGTATATTTAAAGTGATTATATTTCAAAGTTTTTGCTGCCTTCACATGCTGCCTTCACAAGAGGGAATAATTCATTTAACTTTGTCGTTTTTATCTTTACAGCGTTCGTAGTGTTATGTATAAATATCTTGAAGAAAGAGGAAAAATATCATTTGACAAGATATTTAATCAGAAGCTAGGTAAGATAATTTTAGAAATCAATTGTTTCAACATTTTTGTTTCTTTGAAATGATCAATTAATTACATTAATTATTAAAAACATTATAGCAAAATTCTTTAATGTTTGAATGTATGGCCAAAATCAAGGATGTGTTTGTTTCATGAAATATACCCAAAAATATAATAAATATCATTTTTGAAATTAACTTGCTCTTTTGAAGTAACATAAATATGATTAACTTCCATTCACTGGAAATGCTTTTATTATGTTTAACCAAAAAAATCAGGATACACGTTTATAATTCAATTAATGTTTATGCTCAAGTTCATGATTTGTATGTCACTGCAACATAAGCAATTTAATTTCAAAATTATTTTGTTCTCATTTTCAAGAGACAGTACAGTTTCAATTTGTATCAGAATTTATGTTATTATTTTTATGTATTATTGTATTTCATTTTTTCTGTTATGTATCCTTGCCCCACCTGCTCTAGTCCCATGCTGTTTGATTTCGCTTGCAAAGTGTTAAAATATCTGTATGTGTTCTGTTTCGCACGTAGCACATATTAACCTGACATTTGTGGGGTACAATATGCTAAAGACATGCCATATTTTACCTGCAGGCACAAAATATACACAAATATTTATTGTTTCACAATCTTGAATACCTCAAGCCTAAAATATTAATGATAAATAATACCTTTTCTTAACAGATGTATGATTTTAAGAATATATTGTGTAAAAACTCGATATTTTAAATTGTTTTTAAAATTCTATTTAATGAAATAATTGACATAAGCAAGGACAGCCCATTATTTTTATAAGCATTCCTACGAGTTTGGTCTTAGTGCTTTACCGACTGGCGTTGGCAGGTAGCCAAGTTTGGAAAGCCATTGCAAGCTTTATTTCAAGTTGGTCCAGATTTAGAATATTCAAGTCTCTAGGGTATTGGTTCGAATCATTAAATATATATATATTTTTTTATAGGATTTCTAATGTTTAAGGATTTTTGTGAGACTATCTTTGAATCCCCTGTACCGCAGTTGGAATTTTATGAAGAGGTAAGCATTAACTGTAAATTTACTTACACTTTATTATTTTTTTTGTGTCTATGTTTATCATCCAAGGCTATGTTTTATATCTGATTTTTATAGGCCATGATCTTAACATGTGTTTTATTATTGCTTTAAGTATCTATTTTATAACCGTTGATACTTAAAAATCGTAATCGCTTGAACAACTCAGTGTTGCATACATTATGCACGTTTTTTTTATAAGAACACATTTTAAATGAAATGCAGAAATACTTAAAAATTAAGAACAGAATAAGAACAAATTGAGGCTGAGGTAAAATGTCAAATGAGATTTTTATTTATGAACAATTTAGAGAAATCAACAAATCTTATCTGTACCTTATTTGTTGTAGGTGTGACTATGTAATACCCTCTATATACAGTACAGTAGTACGGTATACTGCAGTACAATAATAATTTTGTATGTTCAAGAAGTTTGTAAAATTAAGAACAAAACTAGATTTGAACTCGTCACTGCGGACGAGTTAGGTGATCCGCCACACTTTGCCCCTCAGGAAGTGCGCACGGTGTGGATTAAAAAATTTTTAAATGCTGAAAATGGGCTAAAGTATACTCTAATTCAGTTGTTTATAAAAGAATTAGGAGCATGTTAAAAGATTTACTCATGTGTACGCTCACGTCATTACGCACGTGCGCATAAAAATATCACAAAATTTTGACTCTTGATATGAGATATATGTATCAACTCTCATTGGCAAACGCTTGTTGGTGAGGGACGTCTTATCATTTATAATATTTATCATATAAAAATTCAATTTTTTGAATTCAGATGTCAATATGATGACGTCACAATGACAGATCAGCCATAATGATCTATAAAATCATATCTACAACTCGTGCTTTCAGAATATGTAATAAAAATTGGGGGGTCACCTTTCATTTTAAGGAGCTATAACTGATTAAATATATTCATAATTTTAAGCATATATACATTTTGATGCACACGTACGCGCACGTTAAGACGCGCGCACAAAACTTAAGGTACATGACATTTTACCTTAGCGTGAAGTTAATGCCCATTAAATATGATTCAGAAATGACAGCTGGTTAGGATGATATGGGGTCATCAATGTTTTGAGGAAAGAAAGATTAGGGGGGGGGGTCAGAAAAAAACATTTATTTTGACCATGATGACATCATCAAAATATAAAAGGAAGTCACATATATGAAAGAGAATTGTCTAAGCTATAACATACTCAAAGTTTGGAGACGATCGATCAAGGATAAGCGAGATACGCTCAAATGCGTATTTTCCAAAATGACGTCGCAGATAAAAATCACTTCCTTCGAATTCAGATGGCAATATGATGACGTCACAATGTCCGATCAGCCATTATGATCTAAAACATCATATCTACAACTCATGTGCTTTCAGAATATGTAATAAAAATTGGGGGTCACCGATCATCCTAGGGCACTATAATTGATTAAAAATAGGCATACTTTTGGCCTATTTTCGCTTTATGTCGACAAAAACATGCACAAGAATTCATATGTTATATGCACGTAGAACATTGCCATTGGCCCTAAGATTACCAAAAATAGAATGGAAATATGTGAATACAGTGTCAGGAACCCAAAACATGTAAAAAAACGAAATATCCAGCTTCCGTACGAACTGCGTGCATAAAAATGAAAAATGTTGAAATACTCAGAATGGCCTGAAACGTGCTCTCCTTTAGTCAAAAGGTGATTTCGAGCATTTTAAAATTTTGACGCACACGTACACGCGTGTTATGAAGCACACACGTAAAATTAGGGTACATTACATTTAACATTAACCTGAAGTTAATGCTCACTTAATTTCGAAATGTTAATTGGTTAGTCTGGTATGATCGATAATGTAAAAACACATAATTGCGCGTAGATGATGTCACGTATGACTGAGCACATTGAAAACCTTATTGTGACTATTCCAGGCTAAGCCAAATGTTCGTTGAAGCGCGCATTTGCCTTGCTCGCGGCAAATTTGAGATATCGTGCGCACAAAAATGGAAGGAACAGGGTTGAAAATTAACCTCAAAACCATAGTGGCCAGCAGGGCCAGTAAGGAAAAAATAATACTGACCCTTCCAAGGTTATACTGGTCCTATTTTTTTTACGGTCCGAAATATAATTTTACGAAAAAAACAATCAAAAACCAGCAAGATGACATTGGTGTAATAATTATTTTTAGCCAATTGAATCTGTCTTTAACCAAAATCATTAGTCTGAGAAAAAATCCATTGTATTATTCACGATCGACCCAAGAGTTTTAAAAATGTGATTTTAGACCACATAGAGATTGGCAAAACATTATTTGATAGCAAATTATTATTTTTAGCACACAACGAGGTACAGTAATTCAAAAGTTTTCTAAATATCACACAAAAGTTGAAAAAATTACAAAGGCCTAGGCATAAAGTATTCTCTTTTAGTTTAGAACGATATCGGGGTGGGTGGGGGGGAGGAGGTCGTGGAGCATTGAGAAAAGCCTACTTTTGGGTGTTAGTGGAACAATTATAGTGTCTCCAGAAAATCTGTATTTTATGCATTTTCAGCATAATTATGTATCAGGACATAAAGGATTATTCAAAATTGGCTTGGGTCTGATCGTCTAGAAATAGGCCCCAATTTTTCACTGCAGTGATCAAGGACTTTCGATCTGGACCTACAGTAGCCTAGGCCTAGTAGTAGGCTAGGCCTAGCCTTGACAGATTAAACTGCTACTACTAGGCCTAGGTGCCTACTGCCGTCACTCTGCTCTAGTACCTACACCGTGTAACAGAGCAACCCACGTGGTGCATTCTTAAAATATTACACGCATTACTTAAATGTATTTTACATATCAGGCGAGAACACGAAATCATTGATTAAATAATTATGAGTGACATTTCTACCACCATCGCATGCATAGACCTTGATCCTAGGCCTAAGCATAGGTAGTGCTCCATGGATAAACAAGCTCGGAAGTCGTTAGGTACCCGATGGTCGGCTGCCTTTAGGTATACTTTGTCACTAGTTTGCGCCCAAAGGGTACACTTCCAGCCAGCTGGCTGTCGTGAATATAGTTCCTTCATGTAATCGTCATACATGATGTGATTCACCTTCATAATAGTCGTCGTCATACAGCCACTGCTCTGCATCCACCGCGTTAAAATAACGAATAACAAAATACAGCAACACAAATAAACTTTGCATGGCTATGATGGATTGGCGAAAAATGGAGCTCGGGCGAAAAAAGAAACGATGTATTTTAGCAAGTATTTGAAACTTTTAAATGATTTTAAGCCTTCGCCAAAATGGTTAAAAGTAGTTGGTTATTTTTTCACCAATCCAAAATAGTAAGGGTCGCCAAACAGGGCGATACCCAAAACATTTGTTATCGCCCGACGCCAAAAATTTCTAGCCCTGAAGGAAAGGTAGAATTAAAAAAAAAGATGATGAACATTTTGAGCCTGAAATTGGGGAAAAAATAAGACCACTGAGTCTGGGCAAAATTTTACTTGTAGTAAATTAAGCCTGGGTTTGTCTGCCTTTCTGTCATCTTTTGCTACTACAAGGAGGTCTATGTGTTTTTGCTTGTCCAAGTTTGAATCCGATTCCACTAATTGGCTGGCTGCCGGCGAAACTCTACATTTGTTGCAATTTCCGATTTCAGTCTAACAAACCAAACATCTGATAATCAGAACTTTGGATGATTTCAGGTTTTTGCAATCCATGAAAAAAAAACGATACATTGAAGAACATTTCTGCAAAATTTCAATCACTAAATCTAACTGAAAAGTATGTATATTAAAATTATTTTTTAAATACCAATCCAAATGTTAAACTATTGATTTTGGAATCTTTGGAAGCTATTTTATCAAAACCTACATGGCTAATATCCAATGAATTTAATAATTAGAATAACTTTTCTAATTATACTCAACAAATATTTGTCAAATAAAAAGTTTAAAGAGGAATTCATGCACATTTTGAAAATACCAAAACCTACAAACATTGGGTTTTGTCAGAGCCGGCCACTATTCAGGCCACGAGTTCCAAGTATGTTAAAGATATAATTAATGTAGACCTACCAGCCATAGAAACCCACCTACCTAGATCAGTGTTAATGTATAAACTCAGTGAGTGTTGTTCCTTTGCATAGAAAAACTAGATAAATTTTATCAAAATGAAAATATTTCAATTAGTTTATAATGATTATAATATAGTGTAACAAAGGCAATGAGGCTTTTGTTTCTAATTTTGGAAGGTCACATCTTGACACGAACATGATGATCACACTGAGTATGCCTGCTAGCAAAGTTTTATTGCTAAAATTAATGTATTTTCAGAGGGCTTTTAAACAAAATTAAATTATATTGGTAACATAATTCCATGAATATATCTTTTGTAGAAATTGACTACTGTTAAAAGCCTTACCATTAAAATGCATACCATTTGTTCCTCATTGAAAAATATAAATTATTTTGCGATAATATGGTAATGATTCTTCTCTTTTGTCTCAGTCAATGGTGTAATTCTGGAACATCTCTGTTCTTTTCATCTCCATAAACCTCGTTTATTAACGCTTGACATACGAAATTGTAATTACATTTAGATCCGTTTTCCACATTCACAATTAAACCATATTAAACTAAATGTGTCTGTCATTTCTTCCAAAACAAAAATTTACCCATTTTACATAATGGAATGATCCATTCAGAAATTACCAAGGATGGATCTTACTTATGAAATGAAGCATTCATATTACTGAATATTTAAAGAGCTTGACATTAGTAAAATGTTAATGGAGATTTCATATGCAACAATCATAAAATTGATGTTTTATTCAATATCTAATCATGTCTGAGCACCCCTTGACCAATATATTTTTATCTAGCATTATTTGCAAATATTAATTCTATCGGGCCACACATCTGAAATCAGAGGTAATGATATGCTTGATTGCACTTTGAGGTAATCAGTGAACATCTAGCCTCGGG